GTACTCAGATCTATCCATCTTTTCTTTTAGTCCATCTTTTAAAGTGCAGTTTTGTTTTGTTTTTTGTCTCGTGTAAGAAATCTATCCTTGCCCTAAGGCAATATTTTATATTTCCTTCTAATAATCTTAATTTTTAAAAGTTTAGGGACGTGTTTTATTTTCCAGCTGCACCAACAACATGTACGTGTACTGAGAGGACATTCTGTATCCAGTGGTTGACTTTACCATCCGCAGAACCCACGAGTGACTCTGTCCACAGACCTGTCTGGGAATCTTGATCTGTTCACCTAATTTAGCTCAGGTCCGTTCCACGTGCTGCTGCTGCCTGCAGCGTCACGGCCAGTCTGGGTGCCCGCAGGGCAGGTCTTCCCTCCCCGTCTCCTCTCCTGTCCACCCCAGAATCATCACGGCTGCACTTACGCCTTTATTCTTCCATGTACAGTACAATCAATTTCCTCATTTCACAAAGAACTCTGCTGGGATTTTGATAGAAATACATTAAACTTATGGATTAATTTGGGGGAGAACTGACATTTTCATGATATTGAATTGTCCCATCCATAAAAATCTCCCCTCTATTCAGGCCTTCTTTTATCATCTTCTATTATGTTTCATAATTTTGTCCACAAATTTTGTTACATTTATTTTAGTATTTTACCATTTGGTTGCTGTTAAATTTGTTATTGCTAGGAATGTTAATGATCTTTGTAGGTTGATTTAGAGGACTCATTAGTTCTAATAATTTGTGAATTCTCCTGGATTTTCTAGATATGGAAAGTCACTTTTCCATCCATAGCCTCATTTCCTTTTCCTTGGCTGTGGTCACTAGACATCAGTAAACAAATCTGAGCAGCAGAGGGCATCCCTGTTCCGTTTTGCCTCCAACGGGGATGGTTCTAAAATATTTCAATGCCTAAATATATATATTTTTTTGACCGGTAAGGGGATCGCAACCCTCAGCATGGTGTGGTCTGCACCACGCTCAGCCAGTGAGTGCATCGGCCATCCCTATATAGGATCGGAACCTGCAGCCTCAGCCCTACCAGCTCTGCACTCTCCCGAGTGAGCCGCAGGGCCGACCCAATGCCTAAAATTTTTGCTGTGAAGATTTTTTTTAGATACACTTTATCAGGTTAAAGAAATTTTCTTTTACTCCTAGTTGTCTAAGCAGTATAAATGAATGTTGAATAAAAGTTGAATTATTGTTTTCTGCATCTGTTAAGTTGGTGATTTCCCCTTTAGTTTGTTAATATGGCAAATTATAGCACTAATTTTCTGATATTGAATCATCCTTGCATTCCTGGGACAAACTTACTTGGTTAGAATGTATTACTTTTATTTATAACATATGGTTATGTTTTATTTGATTATACTTTGGAATTTTTGCATTTATATTTATAATTTTATTTTTTCTTAACATAATCTTTGGCAAAGGTTAAACTTACTTTATAAGTTTGAGCTGCTTTCCCTCTTTTCATATCCTTAGGAATAGTTCACATAAGTATTTCTGTATGCCTATAAAAACGTCTGGGTCTGATATCTGTTTGGGAGTGATTTTTTTTTTTTTTTTACTGCAGTTCAATTTTTTAAATTGTTATTTATTAACCCAAGTATTTTATTTCTTCTTGATCAATTTTAACAATTTTTTAAAAAGAAATTTCCTATTTTATCTGTTTTCAAATGTATTGAGAGAAGGCTGTTCGTAATGGTTTTCTCATTTAACCTTTATTTGTTGTAAGGTTTCTCAGTTTTTCTATAAAGTGGTCTATTTTATTAGATTTTCCAAGGAACAAGGTTTTGACCTTGTTGATTTGTTTTGTTTCTGGTTTTATTTTCTTCTGTGAATTGCACCAATTCCTTATTTACACTTTCTTTGAGTTATACTGCTCTTGTTTTTAGTTTCCTTAAAGGCTGAACTCATTTACTTTGTCATGTAAACAGTAAATGCAGTCAGGCTGTAAATACCAATCTAATCTTTCACTGTACACCCCTGAACCTCCCATACGTACACTTCCGTCCAGTCCTAGAGAGAGAAACCAACGACAGTCTTCCCTTAACCCATGATTTAGAAACATGCTTTGAAATTCCCCAGAACATTTTTAACTGTTTTTTTCATTGTGTTGTATTTAGTGTACATTCCATGTGTGCTGGGAAATAACGCGTATTTCTCTATTTGGGGGACGAACAGGTGCCAGTTTCTGCGAAAGATGGGTGACACCTCGCCACGACTGTCGAGCTCTGGTCCCTATTTGAGCTTGACTGTCAGACGTTCCAGCCTCGTGAATGCTGCATACTGTTCTTGTGCTCTGTCAACTGCTCTAAATTCTATTTCATATTTACCCTAATTCCTATGGTACTGACATTGCTGTGCCAGGTTTCCTTTGGTGAGTTGTTACGTCCTTCTGTCACATCCTTTTCCTTTTATTTTCAACCTTTGTAAAACATTGTTCTCTGGTCTCTTTGCGGTTACTGGATACAACGAATTAGAACGTCTTCCAGGAAGCCAGTTTCACGACATCACACTCATCGCGAGCCAGGCACATTCGGACCCGTTTCTTCCGTCACCTTTTGTGTTTTCCGTTCACCGTACTGATTCCCTTTCCCCACCCACCGCCTTCCTTTATTCTCCAACTTTTTGGTTTAAAAGTTATGCATTGTATTACTCAGTAATGGTTCCTCTGCATGTCTTTTGTTCCCTTCGTGTTTTTGACAAGCGTGTAACCTTGAGCCTGTTCTATCGTCATCCTGTCTGATAATATAAAGCATATAAGACGCTTCAGGACTTTGCCTCGCCCTGGGCGCCGCTCACTGCCGGCCTCTTCTCTGCTTTAACGTGCACGTGCTGGGCTGTGCCTGTGACCGTCCTAAAGCACCGCAGTGCCAGGAACGCCAACGCCTCACAGGTGAAGGCAGACAGCAGGAGCTGCCAGTACTCATTCGAATGTCATCTATACAATAAAGGACTCTGATTTTAACATTTTATTGACATCAGCAGTAAAAAAAAAAAAAAAAAAAAAACAACGGTGAATGAAACGTGAAGTTTTAAAGTGCCTTTATGAGGAAGAGACCACAGAGGAGAGAGGGCAACCCCCTGTGGAGACAGGAGCAGTCCGAACAGTATATTAGGTAAATTGTATTACATGTCATTTCCCAAATAACTTACACACCAGAAGAAGAGCTACCGAGTCTGCACGTTTTGTTTTATTTCCACAGTCTGAGGTCTGGCCAGTGACGGCTTTGCATGCCACGGGCAGGGAGGGCGCTTCATCCTGGAAACACGGTGGGGACAGCGGCCGGGCGTGGGCACGGGGGAGGACTGTGAAGTGACGTGTGCTCAGCAGCATGAAGACTATAAATACGCTCTTCACATCAAGATATACATGTACACACATGAACATATATACACACACAAAAAAATATCCGCGCAAACAACAAAGAACATGTTTTGAAAGAACAGAATTTGTTTCTGAAACACAAAAAAAAGGGTAAAACAGAAGTTTTCTCTCTAGTTCTGCATGACGTGAATAAAACAAACTCTCCCCGTTTACATTTCTGCATCTGCACTCAAGGTGATCACCACGCAGTGCGCGAGCAGAGGCTTTACCTGTGCGCAGGAGGCAGGCGGGGTGGGGGGAGGGGGGAGGAGGCAGCGCCTCTGACGGCTGAGACGCATGCGCGCAGGTGTTCACTAGGCTGCAGGCGACAGCATCGCTTTAGAGGATGCCCTGCAAAAGCTGCATCTTTACATTTTCTTTAAAAACAGTAAAAATATCCTAATTCAGTGAAGCTCTTTAAAAAAATTGAGAGTGCCCCCCATTTTTAAATTTTGGTAGAAAAGAAGGTTAATATTTTAAATAATAGTTTAAATTTTCTTTTGAAAATGAAAGCTATGCAGGTAGAGGAACCTCCTTGGTTTCTAACTGCTTTGGGTTGTAGAAACACCACCTGATTTTATCAAGGGACGTGTTTTCATTCACCTGTGACAAGGTGAGATTTAGACAGTGCCATCAACTTCTATGAGTGAGCCCCCCCAAATCATTTCGTGGTATAAACAACGTGTTTTGATGTAAACCCCAGTAACAAAAAAATAGTTTTATATCAAACACAGTATCAAATTGTCATTTCATGTAAACACAGTGATTCTTGGTAAAGATCTTCTTTGAGGCCGAAGTACCACCAGAAATGGCCATGGGATTAATCCCTGTTTAAAAAAAAAGAAAATCCCCAAACTTGTAAAAGACCAGAGCCCCCCAGCCCTCTCTCCTCAGGCTGTTGGTCAAGCATTCGCTTCTTTTGGAAGCAGCACGGTGGTGTGCACGTTTTGGCAGAAAGCTCCACACCAGCAATGTCCGAGCATGGAAGCCCAGAGGCTGGCTCGCTGCCTGCAGAGTGGGAAGGGGTGCCGGGGTGCCTCTCTGCCCAGGGGGTCTGTCACCCATAACCCCTCCTCTGTCCACTCCGGGTTTTCCGAGGATGCTTTGGCAGGTCTTCTGGGCACCCGGCTTCTGCGCCTGGATAGGGGTCCTGCTGTCTCCCGAGGGTCCCTCTGCAGCTGCACAGCCGGGAGGCTCTGGTCGGGGCCATCAGGGTCCTCCTTTTTCAGGATATCTTAGAGCACCGTCCCCTCCCCAAAGTAAGCAAGTCCAAGCAAGAGGAGACTCAGAGAGTCGCACGCTGGTCTGGTGCAGGGCCGCCGCCCGCTAGCCCTGGAGGCCGGGGAAGGGCGAGGGGCAGCCCTCGCTGCAGCTGGAGGAGCAG